TTATTGACAACAAAATAAACAGTTTGCTAGATTAAAGGATTCCCTCGATTTGAAAATTTGAGTTACCGTTAAAATAAGCAGTAATTTCAAATCATCTTCATATCATATTTAAATCAAAAGCTTTTAAATTAGACCACATCCTAGCGGGCTAAGCTTTTGTCTATTTGACGGCTGTAGCGCCGCCAGTTTAACGTGTTCCCTTTTGCTATTTCAAAGTAGAACTTGTGCTCATACATTACGAGTTTAGGAGGATAGTCTTGGGGTTCTATAAAAATTGGTTAGAAGCCAAGTGCTTTACATCTATTAACAGCATCGATACTACGACTGTTAATGCGTATCATATGCATTTCAAATAATTCGCGCTACTTATGCAATTCCATTGGGATCGATCGGAGCTTAACGCGCTATACAATACCAAGTAATTGCTGTTACGAACACATTTACATACAAACGTACATATTAATTTGGATGACCTTGTGTTTTGAATATTTGAGACTTAAGGCCTTGAGCGTGAAGTGGACTATAGAGCAAGCAAACAAACAAACTAGTTTTATCCAGCCAATTTAATAAATTTAAAACAATAAGCAGTATTGCCAGCGTTACTGAGATTATTAATCTTAATTTCAAATGCAAGTTTACCATAACATGTAAAAGTCTACGGCAGAATATAGGCCTCTCTTCTTGTATAGAGAATTTGGCTTAATCGTTAGACTTTTTTTTAGAATAAGGGTGGTGGGTGATAAGTGGACGCTGTGGCCCATAGACATCTATATTTAACCTCGATTAAGATTTAAAATGCTGATGGGTTGTCACCCCTGAGGACTAAAATGGAATGCCTCGATTCAAGTAAAAAGGATCTCCAGTTCTCTATACTGACCATACGATAGACAGCAGCATTAAGCTGCTATTTTACGCTTGTATTCTGTGAAAGCGTAGTTCTTTTCCGCGGTCGAGCCAATCCATTCAGCACGAACGGGTTGGCTCGACCGCGGACAACCATAATATAACTGCAGCATGGCTCTACCACGTACAAACTTACGGTAGATTCGGTTAAATCCATTGAGCTATTATGTACTACGTACTAGAGGAGACACTGCATTCAGCTACTCTGTTCCACTCAACTGCGGTGCATGCACCGCACTTTACTCAGTCACTCGCTAGGCGCTTGTAGAGTTGTCACGTGTTGTGTTGATTTAAAAAAAAATCTCTTGATAAAAATATGCCGTCTTGTGTACTTAGATATTGCACAAATAATTCAAGAAATGTCAGTAAAAACCAAGGAATTACTTTTCATCGGTTAATAAGATACTTATTCAATAAAAAAGTATTATAAATTAATAATAAAAAAAAATTATTCCTAAGACGCCATCTCGTATCATTGAATATAGATTATGAAATTAATATGTTCAGATGCGACATTTCTGTGGGTACTTAAGTTTAGGAAGAATATATTATTATACACATTTTTTGTAGAAAAATATAAGTTATTATAATTAGGCTAAATTTTTCATGTTTAAATCTGCTTACTATTCTTTTATTTTATTTTTAGGTTTCCACATCAAAGTCAAAGTGGAATAACTTCGTCCATTTTTAACTCTCGCGTGCCCAGCATTTATGAACGATTATTTACAGCATTTATGATTCTAATTTAAATAAATATATTTGTGATTTAAATTTTATGTTAATAAGTTTTGTTAAACATACATTTAGTATGTTTTTTTATATTTGACATAGATACCTTTTAAAATATTCGGATAAAAATATCATTAAAATGTAATTGTCATATAATATTATGTAATATTATATTAAATAAACAAATATAATATACAAAATAAATGACAAAATTTAAATATTGTTCTCGATATAATTTAGCTATTTAACAATACAATCTACTATTACCTACGGATCATTCCACCTATGTTTATTCTATGATAAAAAAACCAAACGCGCGAACACAGAGTAGCACACATTTTTGTTTGAGATAGCTGTTCTAGTACGTAAGTACATATTACTTCAATGGTTAAATCAAACATATTGCACTTTTGATGCTAAATCCCGTCTTCGATCCGGGTATTTTACGTCTGGCGTAAAGGGAATGGTTATTCCACCATCTATTGAAAAGCATGACATTTTTTTAGAATTTTCTTCAGTCGCTGTTTACAACACCCGTGGGATGTAGTGGCGTGAAAGATCTATAGATATTATATACATATGTGGATATCCACGGACACACACGGATCTATCATCTGTTGGAATGCAAAAATAGTGAGGACATCATGCAGATTTCTAGCCTGATAAATTAAAAAGACCTTTTCACCAACGGCGAAATCAATCGAATTGAGCTGGAACAATGTGATAGAATCTTCTATGCTCTCTTCCCTTTTCAGAAATGATAATCCTAAGTTAGTTGTTGTAAGTTTTTCTTATTCATTACCTGTCAAAAGTTTACTGCTGAAAATAAGTTTCGCTCATAAATCACCTTATAAGGGAGATATTTGCCATAGTTGCCACGTTTTGCAGTTGGGTTGATGACAGCAGTTTTTATTATACCGTTGTAATCAGGAAAACGTTGCTGCCCATCTCCTTGTTCTGTTTCCCTTTCTTGATTCTTATAACACACACAGGTTGATATGGTATAATGGATTCCCATTATGGCGTTACTACTACTATGGTATAATTACTTGGTTTTCATATGTTTCATACTTTGTTATCATGAAATGCGTTAAATTTATGACAGGAAAATTTACAAACTTCCAATGGATAGTTTTATAAACAAAAATATTGTACTGTCATTAAGAGTCAATGACAAGTCAATCATAATTTTGTCGAAGTTGAATTCTGGCAGTAGATAAATATATTTTATCTTTAGTTGGCAGTACATAATACGATGCATGGTGGAGGCATAAGCAAATCCATCACCCTATCTCATCCTTTTATTATAAGAAGCGAGTTTGGAAGACGCCTGGACCAAGACAGCCCTACTCTGGCACGAAGCCCGCACAGAACAAGAGTTTGTATGTTTGTACAATTAATGTATGTAAATCGCACCAACAATACTGGAGAAAATCCTGTCGTGGGATTACTTATTTTTAAATATTGTGATTGGAAAAGGCGGCGAGAAGCAGCGTACACTTTGTGGGACGTATGACATACCTCTATTTTGTATTTTATAGTTTCAGTTTTTTTATAGTATATATTTAATCTCTAAACTACCCGAAAAACAAAATGAACAGCATTACCTCACAACTATTAAGGAGGTGTTCATCCAGCTGTGGACTACTTAAAGATTAAGGGACATAATTGGATAACGGTGATAGATAGTTGGTATATCTATTTATTGTATTGTATATACTATAATGTAGTAAGGGCTATATTGATATAGACATAGGTAGTAGATGAAGGTAATTATTTAAGATTTGGTATTACATCATAATATGCTTTTGTGTAGTATTTATATTTTAGAAGTAAAATTTTACTGTCAATATTGTTCACATGAATAACAAGGCCCGTACTAGTCGTTTCCATAATGATGTAAGACTTTGAAATATAAGTAGCAATTGTTACATTTATTCCAATTGAGTGACTCGAACCTACTATCCGGTAGCCAGTTATTTTGAAGACGTGTCATTTGTCTCACATAAAAACATAAATTGTTTTTAATTCAAAAGTCGTTTTAATTCCACTGGTAACATTTTAACGATATAAATTAGATAATATCTAAAATAAATTGTGTTTGGATTTATGAAATGAATTGAGACTTTTTCTTATCAATTTATTTATTTCAAGAATTTAATTGATATATTCAACTTAAAAGCTTTCTTGAAAAAATTATTACAATTATATACAAACATTAAAATATATTTACAACATGTATAGAATTAAACTATTCCTTTGGAATACAATGCACAAATATTTGGACGGAAACGATTTCCATTTCACATATAATATAAATAATACCAGAGGTAAAGTACATTGAAATATGTAGAAACCTTATAAAACAATACTGACGAATTTACTTTAGGACTTAAAATTAACTAACAAATGCTTCTTATGTTTAGATTTTTTACGATTTTAATAAAATATACATCCATACATACATAGGTATAATATAATTTTCCATGCATTTTATTCACTTTTTAACTTAGCACTTTTATTTCTATTTATTCTAATTCGTCAAGTAACATTAAAAAAGTCTTCCCATAGAGTGAATAATTGTAATAAAACGTCGCATTAAGTTAGATTAGACATGATATCATCATAGTCTTTTTAACATATGTGAAATGAGAAGTTAACTTAAGCACAAACGCAACACCGTGCATTATCTAAACTGTGTAATTGAACTCTATAGGCCTCTAAATGAACAGATATTCTGAAACTTGGACTTCAATAATTCAGCGACACTGACCAAATATCCTAATGGAAAGTTTTAGACAAGGTAATTGATTAGAGTAAATGATAAAAAATGAATAATGCTTATTGATTAATATTGCTTAAATTTGTTAAAATATTTTAAATGCGTTCTTTCTAATTTTCACAAAAAGATCGTAACTCTAGTTTTGTTCACATGTGAGTAATAGCATTTTGTTTCGAGCTTTCATATACTTACTTAATAAATTGCTTTTATCACTGATATGCTATCTTTTAATTTCTCATTTATTTTTAGAAACTGAAACAGGAGATTTGAGACAGCATCTTTCTGCTAACCGCTCAAAACAATAATATATGCCAACCCGTCTATCATACTATGGCAATTACCATCAGTTCAATGCAATACATTATTACACAATGTTAAAGTTTGAAACAATGCTTCCCAATAATCTTTAACATAATATGTAGTTCGTTTGAATATTTGCAATCAAAAAAAAAACTAAATTTATTTTTTCACGATCACAATCCAGTACCCAGTAATAATTTAGCTGCTACTAATAAGTAAATTTCTTTAATACAAGGAACATAAGTTACAGAAAGATATAATACAAATATTATTAAGTAAATAAAGGTTAAGTAACCATCGCTCGCTCGGGGGGCATCGGTAACATGTTGTACGTGTACCTTTGTCCGTAGTCTGCGAGTTTTAAGGTGGTGTCAGACCAGGGTGGGCTCGGGTTCCATCGTTCCATGGTATCCGTACTTTCCAGAGATACGGGAGCCAGTCGCATTCGCTTTGCAGCTGGATAGTCCATATCTGGTGAAATGAAAATAGTTAATATTATAATTCAATCATTAAAACCATCGATATATCAACCTACAAAAAAATTCGAATAGCGAATTTCAACCAACGAAACTTATATTCGAAGTCCGTAATAATTTTTTATTTGTTTATATATAATAAAAACTAGCAATGCTAAACTAATATTTAAATTACTAATATTCCCTTTAAGCACCCTCGGTAAGCTGAAAATGCTTGTATTAGGAGTGGTTCATGACAGTAGTCGAATGGCGGATTTGAACCCACGACCTTTTGGGATATCGGTCCGCACCGTGCCATTAGGCTACCGTTGCGTTAATGCACTTAATAGATCGTCGACTTACACAGAAAGCTAGGCTTTTTTTTTTAATAGAAAAGGGGGCAAACGAGCATGCGGCTCACCTGATGTTAAGTGACTACCGCCACCCATGATCAACTCAACACCAGGGGAATTGCAGGTGCGTTGCCGGCCCTTTAGAAAGGAGTAAGCTCTTTTCTTGAAGGTCCCCAGGTCGTATCGGTCCGGAAAAATCGCCGGTGGTAAACTATTCCACAGAGAGGTTGTACGCGGAAGAAAACTCCTTTTGAAACGTACTGCGGTGGACCGCCAAGCATCCAGATGGTGTGGATGGTATTGGGACGTTTGCCGTGCAGTGCGTTCACGAAATTTGGCGGCTGGGTTTAATTCGAACAATTCCTCAGAGCACTCTCCATGGTATATGCGAAATAAAATGCAAAGAGATGCAACATCTCTTCGCAGTGCCAGTGAATCGAGCCGATCGGAAAGCACCCGGTCGTCGACGATTCGAGCCGCTCTGCGCTGGATGCGGTCAAGTGGAAGGAGTTGGTACTGGGGAGCCCCAGCCCAGAGATGGGAACAGTATTCCTTGTGCGGCCGAACCTGCGCCTTGTAAAGTCGCAGGCGGTGTGCCGGCATGAAATACTGTTCCGCTCTGCTGAGCACACCAAGCTTTTTAGAGGCCAATTTGGCCTTCTCTTCTAAGTGACCACGAAACTGCACGTCACTCGATATGTCAACGCCGAGGATTCCGATACTGGCTGAGGCAACAAGGGGAGTGCCTTGAAACTGAGGAGATACGACAAAGGGGTTCTTTTTATAAAATATAAGACAGCATGAGGCATGGAGGCGTTCTACATTGAGCTTCAGAGCTGACAATGCAAATTTGTCCTGTTGGAGAGAAGTTTCGTTATTACGCTGCGTCACTCGCTCTACTACTAGTGGTGTTTTTTGGCATTCATTGGGGAAGTCCTATGTTTAGCAGTAGACTTATTAAACGCTGTGATAATGATGATGATGACACTTCAGCAACAATCATTAACAAATATTAGATTAGAAAATAATCTATATTTATTCTTGAAAATATTTTAGATTATTTGAACTTTGAACTCACTTTCTATAGTTCCCGTGGGACACGACTCTGGAGTTGTATAATTAACCCTCTGGTATTGTTCGTAATACTCTCTCTTTCCTTGGTAAGGGTACATGTACATGTTGCTGTTGACGATTACTTCCGGTGGCGCTTCGTAGTGATGTGGAGATCTGTGGGATATCATTAATAACATCAATATTATTATTTATTTAACATTAATATTTCCTATTACAAGTAATGTTAGTTAAAAAGATTTACAGTTCGTAACTAGTAGTAATAATTGATAATCCACTACTGGACGTGGACATTGCCTAATAGTGGTAATATGTCCACGTCCAGTAGTGGATTATCAAGGGTTTAAAAGAAAAAGTATAAAAAGAAAGCATATGAGCTTTACACTGTCTTTATGGCCGAAACTACTTAGAATAGTCTAGACTACAAAAATTAAAAATACAAAACATTATTAAAAAAGTAAGTAAAACTAAACGTTAAGAGTGTTTCGAAGTCATTTCGAACATGAGAAAAAAGAAGTCAAAAGTTGAGCCCTTTTCGACTTTGTTTTTTATATTTTGTTCCATTACAAATACTGCTTTTCACTTGTCGAAATAAAAATGATTGTAACTGAAGCCTTAATACAGTATATATACGTTTCATTATAATTTAAAGACGATTTAAACTAAATTATATGTTGAGGTTTTATAATAAATATGGTAATGAAAGGTGTCAAATTACGCAGACGGACATACGGACGGACGGGGTGATGATTTTCTTATTTATATTCCATCGCCTGCCGCTGTGACATGACGAGTACAAATTGTTCGTTGCGACCTTGTTGTTTATTTGATTTTGTCTTTAGGTAACATTATTTGCTTAGGCAAAGTAAATAAAAACGTAAAAGAATTAGGATCAAACGTCTTTACTTTCAGTTAAAATTAGTTTTTAGACTGGTGCCACTACTGGGTACGTGGTTCCAGAAATACACCTCTGTAAATTATATTCTAAATACTTTTATTATGAGAGGTTTAGATCAAAGGTATGATGGCTGCTGTGTTTAAGCGTTTGACTGTGGTTTTAACGATCGCGTGTTCGTATCCTGCGCGAAAAGTGTTTGTATGACCTATGAATTATTGTTGCGCATGTTAGTTAATGTGAATTGTGTGCATCCTCCTCGAGCACGAAGTTCGTTATTGGTGGCATTTTTCAACGGTGACTAGCCAAATGTGCAGGACAGAATTATAGTGTAGCAGTGTGTGCGCAAGCACGGATGCACTTTCTATTCCCTTACTTTTAATAGTTCGATTGGACGACAGTCTGACACGACTGAAAAGAGATCAGGCACAGGACTAGCGGCTTTAAGTGCTTTCCGAGGCACGAAGTTTCTAACTAAAGACTACCACTTAGTTTTTCTCGACCGGAAATCCAATAATCGATTTTGGAACGACACAATATAGTTGAAACATGAGTCTCTGAGAAAACAACTTTACATTGCGCCATTTGCTACTGCTGAGACTATCGGTACGTGGTAATGCCCGGTGAAGTTTCTAAAGAACTGTAGCCACGAATGGTAGTCATCGCCGAAGTCAATAAAGCTTGTTCTTTACTCGCCCAAACACTAAGAGCAAACGAGCAAACGCAGCCAGAGTTAGCACTATACCACCGTGAATATTGCTGTTTGATAATTTTGGAATTTAGTTTTTATTGTAATATAACATATTATAATTTCTTAAGATCTGTGTTATTATATCTTTAGATCTGTAGAAATAAATAATTATTGAAAATGCTGAGAAATTATCTTTTTATCATTTATTACAAGGCTGAATCGCAATAAGTTAGACGTTATTATTCTTGTTTATTTTATTGCACACAAAAGATTTCAATGGGTGCCATGCACAAAGTCGCTGATAGTCTATCAAGAGTGTTATCACAATAAATTATTGTTTATCAAGTATGTGTCAATTGAAGTTATAGAATACTATAATTACATACTTAATAGAACGGGGGAGTGGGCGGAGCCACTAAAATGTCACTAACACGTCAATTCACACGTATAAATGTCAACACGAGATGTGTTTTGACGTTAAAATCGTTTCCAAATTTCGCATGCAAATTATTTAGAAAATGCTAAATTGCACGCTATATATAAATAAATACGTAATAAAATCTGCCTGTCAACACAGCGAATCGGGTTACTAGTAGTGATAATACTACGTAATTGCTTGTATATGTGCTCACGGCAACACCTATACTCGTACAAAGTAAGGTTGACAGCCATTCTATTGTGTATTATAGTATTCTATGGCTGAAATAATCAGTTTGTGTTGCAGTTGCATTCTGCCACAGTATAAATGCTGTTAGTTCAAAGTTTGTTCTGACAAAACCGAGTATATAAAATGACACAACGGCTTATGGAATAGATCGTTGGTTAATTAATATCCTGCCCATTTCCTTTATAAAGTTTAATATTTTGTGCTAATTCTAACTTCATTCGTACATTTACGTAAAAGTAAAGACAAGGAAACTCTAAGCTTTTAAGTTATTCAACTTGAACATATTTTTTAATGAAAGTATAAACTCAAACTTTTCTTTTACGAATAGATAAATCCAGCTTACCTCTCTTCACTTATTGTAGATTGAGGGGAATGCGTTGAATAGTCCACGGGACCTCTATCTGTGTATATTCTTTCACATCCATATTCCTCTGGTTTGTGTGCCACATACGGTGAGATGTGGTAGCCGGTGTAATCGACTTCTGAGTTCTCGATGTACGGATAGGATTCTTGGTAAGGATCTTGGTAACATTGGTCCCTTCTAAAGAACTTTTGGCAGCGAGGGTCAATCATGCCACAGGGTTGATTCTGATAGCCATAATACTGATATAACCATGAGTTGGCCAACATGATCGATGCTTCTTCTTCACTATAAAAATTAAAATATTGTAAATAAAGTTATATTTTGTCCACCCAAATATGCATTGAACGGAGAAGAGATGAAATCTTCGCTTTAATAATTGAGCTTAAGACAAATTATGATGTTATATATTATAATGTATATATAGTATAGTCTGAAAAATTTCCGACCCCTACGTGAAGATGGCAGCACTCGGCAATAAAAGCTGCTGAATGTAGTTGTGCATCTTGACAGTCATGCACCAAATTTCAGCCATTTGAGTCGATGTGACTGTTTTTGTCAAAAAGGAAAAAATTGAGTTTGAACTGTTTTTTTCGCTAAGTTCACCAAATGGTGCCAGACAACCGCAAAATTAAAACGAGCGAGATAGCAGAGGCTATGAAAATGTCTAAAGAACGTGTTTGTCACATATTAAATCAAGATTTAGGCATGAGAAAGCTGTCAGCTTGTTGAGTGCCACGTTTGCTCAGGTTAGACCAAAAACGTGTTCGAATGGATATTTCTAACGTTCTGGTGGCGCGGTTTAGGTACAATAAATCTGAGTTTTGGCGCCGATAAATTTCTGTAAATAAAATTTCAATATACCATTATACGCCCGAAATAAAAATATAGTCAAAATAGTATAGGAGAAACTGGCTCTAAAAAAAGCAAAAACTGTTTTTTTTGGAAATGTGATGGTAAATGTTTTTTGGAATTTTCATAAAGTTATCTAAATCGATAATCTTCAAAAAGGTAAAACTATTACAGGAGCACTTGACAAACTGAAGACCGAAATAGCGGAAAAACGGCCATATTTTCATTAACAAAAATCCTGTTTCACTGTGACAACGCGCCGTTTCACACCTCAGCCGTTGCCATGGCGAAAATTCACGAAGTACGGTTGGAACTGCTTGAACATCCGCCTTACTCACCAGATCTAGCCCCTAGCGACTTCTTTTTGTTCCTTCATGTAAAAATTGCGCTCGGAAGATAAAAATTTTCGTCAAATGCGGAGGCAATTACCTTCCTTAACAATTATTTGGCAGAGAAAAACGCAAAGTACTATTTGAACGGGTTAGAGCGATGAGAGCATCGCTGAGAGAAGTGTTTAAGGAGACTATGAAGAAAAATAGTCGGTTGTAAATGTTGTTAGTTCGGAAACTTTTCAGACCACTCACGTACATCTTCGTTTTAATAAAACATCAATAAAAAGAATACCATAGAATAACCATACAAAATTTAAACATAGGTGACTTTATACCTTAGGATCTGGTTAGTAGCTACAATAAATTGTCGAGGCGTATCAGCCGCGTCTTTGACTTGGAGCACCGCATGCACCCACAGGAATTGGCCGTTTCTTTGTTGCAGTCTTACTAAAAGAATGCAACATTTGTCCTGTTCTGATTGCGTTACTGCAAAAAATTGTTTCGATATAATTACCTTATTTTTTAATACCAGAAAATGTATCAGGATACATTCAGTAAATGAAATAACATATAATAATATGTTCTATACTTTGTATTAAAAAATAAGTTTCTAAAGTTATTTGTTTTAAACATTCCAAATTCTTTATATTGATTTTTTATAAATTGGGTAATAGCTAGCGCAGTCGAGTGAATTCTAATGACATTACAGAAATTTTTATGATTACAGTACAAAAGAACTATTACACACAAATAGTTCTTTTGTACTGTAATCATAAAAATTTCTGTAAGTAAAAGCGAATTAATTCTTGAAATTCAATTGAATAGTATTTCAGATTTCATATAATATGTGATATGTACTTGTTAAGACCTTAATTTTTTCTGTTAATTCAAATTTAATGATGTATAACTGTTATTCTAATTGAATGATAGATAATAATAATTGATATAATAATCCATGATATTTAAATTGATAATCAATTGACACTTAAAAATAATATTACGAAATTAATCGAGTTCCATTATCATTTGATCTATTTGAATTTTGGGTATCTACTCTTTCGATTAAAAATATCACTATCCAAAATAGAACATTGTCGTGTTGCATACATTAAAAATATAAATATTGTTGAATTGATATTCCTTTTGTAAAAGTTAGTTTGTATACTGATACTGATATTTTTAATGTCATGAATAAATTTTTTGTTTGTTGCTTATATTATTTACAGTTATTTCAGCAAAATCATAAGTATATGATAATAAGTGTATGCGTAGTTAAAGGAACATCGAACAAACACTCTGTTTTACTAAATGTATATGTCACGGCCAAAAGCCAAAGTACGAACACACCTAGGTTTAGCCGGCTACCACAGTACATACCATGAATTGATCGAATATATTATTAATTAACTGAGTATATCAAATATAGAAAACAAACATAAGCCGCAGCTGTATTATTTTTCAATGCACTAAATTGACATAATTTTAATTAAAATATCACTTACTTAATCTGTGTTTGGTCTGTGCTTCCCGTAAACTATCCCAGTGTAAGATTTGATACCATGACACATCCGCTAGTTCAGTCTTTTTCCAACCCAAATACCATTCGCCACTGAAAATAACACTTAAGTTAGTTATAAACATTAATGGTGATCTATTAACATTGAATTAACATAAATAACATAAACACTCACGCCTGTCACCCAGAGGGGTAGGCAGAAACTACGGACTTCCATTTGGCACGATCCTGGCATACCTCTTTCGCCTCCTTTACATCCATATGTCTACGCATACATGCTCGTCGGTTAAGGGTACTTCTAACGTGGCCCATTTTCAAAATATCGCCAATTTGGTCGTAAAACTTTTTTCTAGGGCGTCCCTTCCCGACTGCCGTTCACATCTGCCATATAAATTTGTTTTGTCACTCTTTCCTCATTCATTCTTTCTACATGACCAAACCACCGAAGCATTTCTTTCTTAATCCTGGTCACAACATCATCTTGCATACCACATTTATCTCTTAGCACGCAATTTCTCACCCTGTCATTCAGATTCAACCCTAGCATACTCTTTAAAGACCGCATTTCTACAGCATTTATTCTACTTTCGTGCTTCTTCTGCCACACGCAGCTTTTACTACCATACGTTAAAGTAGGGACTAACACATTAAATTAGTTATGCAAAAAGCAAAATAGACGTATTTCTGTCTTTATTACTAAGTCATTCATTCAGATATTTGTAAAGTGGTGCTATGGTCACCAATCAGCCAGCCAAGCGTGGCATTAAGGGAAAATCTTCTACATTGGGAAAAGCCTATGTTCACCTGTGGACTCTTACGAACTGATAATGGCTGAAGAAGAAGAAAATACTAGATTATATTGATAATGTTATTATATTTCGAAAACATGTGAAGTCTACCAGCACGCGCTAAAGAAGAGCAAAATACTTATTGGTTCCTTGAAAATTTTATTACTCTGATAATATGCAGTTGTTCACCTTCACCGCTGAGCACATGGTAAAACGTGCAATGAACATTCATTGGTGCCGGCGGGAATCGAACCCGTGTCACTAGTGTACTGTGGATTAATGGAAAATAGGCTCCGGAGCTACTACGGCTCTTGTATGACTATTGCTTAGGATTAAAATCAGACTTTGAGCCCACGAATTAACAGTCAGATACGAATACTACTAACGCTTCTGTTATTATTCGTTTTATATTTAATTGTGTGAGAAATTGTATTTGAAATTTTTGTTAATCAACTTATTAATAAAAAAAGTAAAATGTATTTAGATTAAGTGTCAAAAACACAAAGTATCTCATTATGCTCACATATAAATATATATGACTATTGCATATATCACATAAAGATTCTACTGTGAGCTCCGGGTTCATCCCATCATCAACAACTAGCCAATTATAAACCCACCTACTTTCATTAAATATAAGCTTAATTGTCTTCTGTTCCAATAGGTGTGTAACAGGTTTTACCAATTAACTTTAGTCTCCAAAGAATATTAAATGTACCGTTGATTTGAGCTCTAGATATTTTAGAATCTTTTCTACCGTTAGATACATTTTTATATCAGTTCATTGATCATGGACTTTGACTGAGATCTGTTTTCTTAGTTTTTTTCGTTAAAAAAATCTACAAACGGTTTTTAGGTTTCAAATAACGTACATTGTTTTTATTCGTAGCGTATCCTGTTACTTTCTGTTCTTTTCATTATTACCATTTTTGTAAAAAAAAATTAATGTTGGTGACAGCATCCAAGTATACCTTTTTTATTAGGAGAGGAATTAGGAGGAGATTTATGCTAACGAGCATACGGCTCACCTGATGGTAAATGATTAATCGCCGCCCATGAATAACTGCAAAACCGGGAGAATTACAGATGCGTTGTCGGCTTTTTAAAAAGGAGTAGGCTCTTGTTTTGAAGATCCCTAGGTCGTATCAGTCCGGAAAAAATTCTGGCGTTAGTCGATTCCACAAGGAAGTGGTGCGAGGAAGAAAACTTCTTTTAAGTCGCACAGTGGTGGACCGCCAGTCATCCAGATAGTATGGATGGTATCGCGAGTTTTGTCACGATGTGCGATGGTGAAATTGTGTGGTTGGAATTAGTCCAAACAATTCCTCAGAGCACTCTCCGTGGTAAATGCGATAAAATACGCAAAGAGATGCAGGTGGTGTGCCGGCACGAAATACTGTCCCGCTCTGCTGAGCACGCTAAGGTTTTACCAGAGACCAATTTGGCCTCCTCTTACAACCACAAAAATGCACGTCACTCGATATGCCGACGCCGAGGATTCTGAACAAGGGGAATGCCTGAAACTGAGGAGATACGACGAAGGGGTTTTTTTGCAGTAAACGCGCAAACTTGTGTCTTTTGGGATTGAACTGGACTAGATTTAGTCTCCTCCAGTCCGAGACTTGGTTCAACAAAGTTTCGACTTCAGACACAAGGTTGTTCCGGTACTTTGTTTTCCCGAGATATATTGGCACGGCCGGTGTATAAAGCATCACCAGTGTTGTCGTCCGCATAGCAATGAATGTTACCGGTTCGCAACATGTCATTGATATGCAGAAGAAACTGTGTTGGTGATATCAGATAGCACGCAGCCTTGTAGAACACCAGCGTTAAGGAGCTTGTAATCAGAGCATACACCGTCTACAACGACCTTGATGCTCCGATCTGCAAGAAAGTTGGTGATCCAATTGCACAATTTCTCGGGATGCCCGTAGGAAGGGAGCTTCGTAAGAAGCGCTTTCTGCCAAACCCAATCGAAGGCCTTCGCTATGTCCAATTAACCTTGGATCTTATCCCAACATATTAGTATCGCGTTTGAGCAGATTAGGACGAGAAAATGTCTCTGTTTTTGTAGATAAATCTGTTATACCGTTATATTATATCATGCGTAGTTAATAAAATTTATTTTGATACTGCCGCTTGAACAATCAGAAAATCAGCCCAACAAAACATTGTTAAGTATGTTGTTTTCCTTAACTTCATATATTTATTACCTTGTACACTTTTAAGTTGTTATTTATTAACATTTGCTCATCGTTTAGCACAATATACATTTCAAAGGCTCGTATGATGTTTATTACTACAGAAATGATGTGCGTACTTAGCGTCGATGTGTAGAATCTTCATGTCCATGGCATGAACTGTTGTAAAAACGTTCGTTGCACCATTTACAACACACTCCCGGGTCTCGGGCATTGCTAGTGGTGTGCATACTGCTAGGAACACTGGTTCGTTACGACTACATAGTGGTAGGTATGATACGTAGTGGCCTCTGACGAGAACGACCTAAAATATACAATTTAATTATAACAATAAATTTATGCTAATGGTTTGTTGCAATAAATCAATGTATAATTTGTCAAAAACAAATATATAAATTATGTTAGATTCCCTCTAAAAAAACACCCCCCAAAAAGAAAAAAAACCATTAAAAAGCCCACACCCCTTACCCCCCACCATACCAAAAAACATTGAATTCTTCCGGAATATTGTTTATAAATAATAAAAATTAAAGGCTAACTGTGATAATAAAATGTTAAAATTAATATTTAGATTTAAAAAAAAATACGTTTCGTAAACTAAATGTCAAACGATTGAAATGTCTCATCGTAAAAAGATAGAGGCAATAGCGTCTTCAATGTTAGCCGTATTACAATGAAGTTATCAGCGCGCTGACATTGAGCGAACGGTTAATGATCCACTTACTTTTTGGTCGCCAAATCTCATTTGGCGTCTCGCATTTCTCGATACGTTCATTCTACAGAAGAAATGCCTATTCTTTGGTACATTTTCAGTCTCGCCATTATTACCTCTGTTCAATTCAACTTGAACTGTTTGGTGGTCTTGTCTATCTATAATATCGTAAACGCTGTCTCCGTGTATCAACAAATCTTCCTGAAAGGGAAAGTAAATATTATTATATCTGTTATTGATATTAAACCGTTAGTGATTATTTATTATAGTACAAACCATTGAATGTCCCAAATATTCCGCAGCATTTTCCGATATATACAACAATTTTCCATTTTGTGTCATCATCATCATAAAACCATTCATTGCCTGAAAAGACATTGTAAATGTCAGTAATAGTGATTTTAATGGTTTCACGGTAACGGGTCGTAAACTTGAAAAAAATATACCTTTGAAAATCCGATATTAGGTGTAGGAGTCGGTTGTTCTTGATACTGATAGCTGAAGTCGTGACTTTTGAACACTAAAACAGAAAGAAAGACGGAATTATGGGTGAAGTAATAGCAAAACGAGATAAGATAGCGAGCTAAATGCATTTTAAACGTCTTAATATGCCTTTTCGTGACTGAAGGTGAGCTGACAAAGTTTGGGAGACGTTTCAAAGAGAGGACGAGATTTCGGATAACGGAGCACGTGATGCTTAGACGAAGATTTGGGACATGGGAAAAGATGTGGGGAAATCTTCCGCGGATTTAAATAAATGGAAAAGTTTTGTGTGTTATTCTTATTGCTATCTACGTAGTCGCGTAATAAACAAAAACGTGCAAAGATTATTTTCCTATATTGATTAACATTAATGTACTGTTTTATAATGAATAATATATTACCATCGCCGTGTACTGTCACCGTAAGGGAAATCGCAAATCGCTCGCGGGTGCCATAAGAGGCGATAGAGGAAAATTAAATATGCATTTCTGGTAACAACTGCAAATATTTAAAAAAAAACTAGGTTTGCCAAATTGCTTGCTGGATGGTATTGCCGAACTGTTCAGCTGTGGATTATTAATGGGCTGAATGAATGATGAATTAATGAAATACTACCATAGGTTCTATTAATTACACATTCGCTAATATTCCTAGTAACATGTCGTGGGTTTTGAAAGAGACAATTATGGGAAACTATTTTGTTACTGCCAAAGGTACGATTTAACTAGTATTAATGAAAAGAGAGCGTCAAGGTGTAAAAGTTACTACATTCCAATTTCTTTGCGTGGCGATTAAATTAAATCCTTCTCTACAATTATATACTGTTGCAGATTATCTTATAGAAAAATTTTAAGTAACTAATATGTCAAATATTATCCTATGATAGAAAATCTATGTATATTTGTTGAAAAATATTATTTTATCAGAACAAGCAACTTGAGTGTATATCTACTATATTTTAAGTGGTCAAGTATAAATAAGATTTGTTATAATAAAAGTGTGCAATTACATCACATTTGATATAAGAATCAGTAAAAACTTGCCATAAGTTTCACGCTTGGAAGGCGGATGGACAATTTGAAGTTTTTTAGATTTGACATGAAGGAACCCTGTCTCCGATGTGGGTGTTTAACGACAGTGCAATTTGATTATACTGTCATCTATCGGAAACCATAAGATCCTTTTGGAATATATAATAGTCTCTAACAACACCCAAGTAAAAGCTACTACTACTTGTGTATAGTCTTAATTCAATAATAAAATTAAGAATTAACCTAACCAAAATTCTAAATAAAATCTAAATAAAATCTTGATTGATATACAGGTATCAATTTATATTGAACCTCTCTACAGAGGCATGTGTTCAGCTGTCCTTTACGCATCAATGATGATGAAAAAGGATAGTGCTAAACCTGCTTACCTTGTTGAAAATAGTTCATTTTCCTAACATATACGCAGACGAGCGCCATGAGTTGCAATTGTGATAGCCGCTGTCTCGTAGACGGTGGCAAAGGTAACAGATCACGGAGGTTAGATATCTCAGCATTGATAAGGTCGCGACGCATTTTACTTGCACCTTTTGTCGACTTCGTAGGTTCGAATCTGGATAAAGCACAAACACAAATAATGTTTTAATTTTAATACAATACCTGCAGCAGTGCTGTAAGATTAACATTATTTTTAATAAAATAAGGGCGATAAACGAGCACATAGTCCACCTGGTGGTAAGTGAATCCTGTGGCCCTTAGACATCTACATTTATCCTCGATTAAGAATCAAAACGCAGATACGTTGTCACCCCTGAGGACTAAGATGGAATGCCTCGTTTCTAGTAAAAAATGGTCTCCGGATCTCCTACACTCACCATACGAAACACAGCAGTATTAAGCTGCCACTTTACGCTGGTATTCTGTGAGAGCGTGGTCCTTCCCCAGTCGAGCTGACCCATTCGTTCTACGAACTTCTACCACGTACAACGAAATTAGAGTTTATATTTAATTCGTTTAGAATTGGAGTGTGCGCATGTATAACAGCGCTTGTATGACTGTAAATTTCCACGAAATTTTGCTATAGTATCTTATTCCAAGTCCAATACACTAAAGTTAGCGTCTTGCTTGCTATAGGAATTTATTTATTCTAAAACCGATTAATTTGATAGATTAAAAAAAGGTTACCTCTTATTATCTGAAATGTTCCTGTATTGTAGAGATGTTTTATATTCATACATTGTAGTGGACAAAAACCTACCAAATTACCGAACAAAAATTTATTACACGAACAAATATTTATACCGCGTGGGAATAAAATTTTTAAAATTATATAAGTTTGACTTTTTGTATAATATGAATTTTGTTCAAATCTCATTTGAATAATATATCAAAATATTATTGTAATGGTTAAGAAAAACTGAAGATATTCTAGGATCTAAAACAATGCGCGGATATAGTGTCCCGGACAGGTGTCACATCGGTCGGTTCGGTGTTACAAGACCCAATTTCCATAATCCGCGGATCTATTAGAACCTCATCGGATACAGGATGTATCGATTTATTACTTTATTGGTATGAGCAAAAGGCATTGTAAAGTTAATATCTTGTTTTGTCATCATATTTACTTTTAACGTCTGTTCAATAAATGTTTTTAAACATGTTGCTATTTGTGGTTAATACATTTTTATTCATTATATCACATTCAAATTATGATAAGTAAGATCACTAGGCAATAGTCACGCGTGTTCTGAGTACTAATTCCTGCTTGGGGTTGTTCATAATATCTGGAATAAATGATTCTAATGTTTTTTGTCGTGTTTCTATCTCTAATGAAGCTATTATTTTATGGCATTAGAGTAACATTGGATTTGAGTAAGTTGAGCCAGTACCAGACGCACACTACTTGCTTGGGCATTTGTAACAATACAAAATCTTCTTCTGTTTGTTCTTTATCAGCCCGCATTAGTACACTGCTGTGTTAAATACATCTTGTTAAATTATCAGAATATGTCATCGTAATACTATAGCATCCGTGTCCCTGTGTAAAGCTACGTCACAGGTCCTACATTCCAGTTCCAGTTGGTGCCAATATTTGTTCAAACAAAATTTGTTGGTTTAATGATCTGGCTGTGTTGTGATTCGCTCCGTCTCTCCTACGCTGCATCCTAGCCTAACTCTGACTTATAGATAGTGGCCGAGTGCTTTGGTGTTTGCGCATTCACTTAGTGTATTATAATATCTCCTGAACAATTTATAGCTTCCAACCGTTCTGTTGCCACCGCCATATTCAATAATGGCAATGTAATTTTAAAAATATAGTATTATTATATAACACAATAAAACATAATCATCATCATTAAAGACCTTCATAAGTCCACTGCTATACATAAGCAAGGATTGTAATAAAATAGTATCCCGAGCAATCTGAATGCATCAACTTTCTGCATAGACGTAGTAAGACTATCATATCTGTATCATCTGGTAAAACTAGTTAAATAAGTAGTTTCGTGATATAATAGGTATCGATGATACTTGCATGAGAATTAAGAACTAGTTACCGATATTGTCTAATACTATATAATACAAAACAAATAATTGTGAAGTGTATTGTCATAATGCGCATCTATGAAAGCGAAGTGAAATACGTAACGCACATACGTAATACGTATGAAATACATGTAATAAATTTTGTGAAGGAATAATGCATTAAGGTCACACATTACTGAAATTCGTAAAAGCAAATAGTAGTATAAAACACATATAGCGTCTTTCAGGAGTTACCTCATACTAGAATTATATTTCTAGCTGTAATAGCAACACATTACATTATTTGACAGACTTTCACTTGTTTCGATTAAAATTGTTATATCAACTTAATTTAAATGGTGGTAAAAAGAATCAGTATGTAAAGCAATATGTTTGTCTACTAATCGAAAACATTACCGAAAAAGGCGCAACGGTAACAAAAACGGTAAAGGAAGTAGCTTTCCTGTCATGTTAACATGCGTGCGCGCGATCGACTACGCGGCACACCACTGCGCATGCGGCCCTTTCATCTCACCTGGGAGTCCTTTTTACGTCTTCGTTTATTTTTATTTGTTTGAGTGATTAGGTTTTTTTGGCGTCGCGCTGATTGTGGGAAAAAATGAAGGATGATTAGTACCGCTGTCGTTGCATTATAAAATACTTAAACTTCTTATTGAGTGATTGTTGTTTGTTTTATTGGAGTTGTTCATAAATTGAGACTTTGACTGGCTTAGCAGAGATTAAACAAGGTGAGTACGGATTATAGAATTATTTAGATAATATCATGTTTTGTATGGCCGTATGAGGACGCATAAGGTCGCTCAGCGAGCTATGGAGAGGGCTATGCTCGGAGTTCTCTGCGTGATAGACTCAGAAATGAGGATATCCGCAGCAAAACCAGAGTGACCGACATAGCCCAACGTATTAGTAAGCTGAAGTGGCAATGGGCCGGCCATATAGCTCGAAGAACCGATAACCGATGGGGAAGAAAGGTTCTTGAGTGGCAGCCTCGTACCGGTAGGCGTAGTGTAGGGCGACCCCCCACTAGATGGATTGGCGACCTGGTAAGACATTGAGGAAGTCTATGGATGCAGGTGGCTCAGGACCGTGCTTTGTGGCGTTACTTGGGGGAGGCCTATGTTCAGCAGTGGACTTGTGAAGGGCTGTAATGATAATGATGATGATGATCATGTTTTGTAACCTATACCAAAGATCTGTAGAAGTAAATCTAAGATATCTTAAAATTAGTTAAAAAGTAAATGGAAGCTTTTTTGAAATTTAAAGTTAGTTTATCAAAAAGCAAAAAGTAGACGTGAGTGAGTGTCATTACATCAAGAAGACAAAGGAGGTTGATAATTATCTCGATAGTATGTAGTCAATTTATGGATTTCCGAATAAAAAAAAAGCTACAAATATGTCGTTACCCCTTAAGGAATTCCTCCTATATGACTAAGTCTGAAATCAAGGGTGACCTATCTAATTTATTAGTTTTCTTATATATAATTAAAGTTACAGCCCTTTACATCCCACTATTGGGCAAAAGCCTCCTCTCATTTCTATTATTATGTTTAGAAATTAGTCCACTGCGTTACTCCATTTGGCGTATGTAACATTTCCACGAAATATAAAATGCTCGCGTTGTGTGAAAATAACGATGACCGCTTAGACCCTAGACTTCCTTTTATTAGCTATTTAAAAAACGTTAACCCTACACTAGGATTTTCATCTGTATTCTAAAAGCAGTTTTAATACATTAATTGTACAAGGGTAAACATCCAGACCTGAAACAATTATTTGCAGGCCATACAAATACTTGTAAAGTGCGAGATTTGAACACGCAACCCTCAGCGTAGCAACTCAATGCTTAGCACTTATTACACTTACTTATTACACTTATTACACCACGGAGCCGTGACTTTCAGAGAATCTTATTTTCTTTAATATATAATCTCTTATTTATTTTAAAAACCCGATCAAAATGTATCATTATTCATCAAAAAGTGTGAAAGCAAAATAAGAAAAAATATCCTTGACAATGTACTCAATTTCTCATCGTGAAACTTTTCGGAGACCCCTAACGTTTTTTTCCGGGTCACATTTTTAGAATCACAAGAAATTGACCCAAACTTTTTTCGGTATATAACAAATCAAGAATGTATCGGTGTAATAAGTATTCGTTTACTCGTTGGCTGCGAACAAAAACCGAGCATTCCTTACATACTTGGTGGCGTGAAACGACGTGGACATTTCACGGTGGTTCATCTTGTCGACCGTGTAAATTCTTCTCTGACACATTCGTTTATAGATTGACTTTTTATTGTTTAAAATCTTTATTACGTTTTAAGTGTTTAGCATCTGGTAATGACTTGTTACTGTTTCTATTTCAAACACACTTCAACAACTTAAATTTATTATGCAGGAGTTATTCCAAAACCTAACTAGTTATATGGCTTATACTACTGGATGACGTTTTTTACCGTCTCAAAAAATAGGGTATAACATGTGAACAGAGTAGAAGCCTATGGAACTGGTATTTTACAAAAAAAAATTGTGAATTAAATTAATAAATTAATTAAAATCTATCGCAATTCAAATCGTATTCTCCCTAGTCTGTGATCCTGCGAAGTGACAAGGTCAAAGATGCCTACTAAATTTATTGTTTTATTGCCGTCCGTAAAGTAGGATAGATATGATTTGAATTTCGATAGATTTTAATTTTTAATTATTTAATTTATTTAATTAAAAATTTTTGTTTTTATTTATTGTAAAATATCTGTGCCATAGGCTCATACTCCGTTAACATGTTACACCCTATTTTTTCCAGACGGAAAAAAGTCCATCCAGTACAGCCGCATTGATTCTTATCAGGCTCTCTTATATGAATTAGCAATGCCATCAAAAACATAACCAAACCAAGTCTTGCAACTCGGTTCTTATACCGTAAAAAGTTGTGAGATCCATGTAATACCAAGTCGGTTAATTTATTCAGTCCCTACTTAAGGGTCCTTCTGTTTTAAGTTATTACGTAGGTAATTAGCTAACCCAACATTTTATAGTGACCATATCAATGTTAAAAATCTTTTATGT